CCCCCCACTTCCCTCATCCTCCCCCTCCATCCCTTGTCCATCCTCACCACTTTCCCTAGAAACGGCAAGGAGCCTCCCTCTTTCTCCCCCCTTCTTTACCTCCGCCCTTGGCGGGTCGACAAAAATAAAACCCCGCAAATGGATTTGTCCCGTCCCCCTCGCCACTCTTCTGCTGCCTCGTCACATGTACAAAGGGGATGATAGGCCGAGGGGGATTGCCCTGGATGTGTTTTCCCGTCTTGCCGGCAACCCGGATGTCTATTGGGGGGGGGGGGGGGGCATTGTGCTGGGTGGTCCATCAGGTCGACGGCGTGGGGGGGACCTGGGTGTGAAGCTGCAGGGCGTGAATCTTCTTCAGCTCGTCGGCGAGCACCTCGTTGACCATCCGGTGCTGCAGGACCAGACCCACGCCGCGGAAGGCCTCCGACTGGATGTGCACCTGGAAGGAGGCGCCACAGCCGCCGGAAATGTCGCGCACCTTGACCACCTTCGGGGCCAGACGCTCACTGGCCATCAGCAGGTTGTGAAGATGCTGCTCGGACTCGGTGTACCCCTCGGCGTCACTGTCGGAGCTGGAGCTGTAAGAGGCCGCTGTCCGAGAGGGGGCGGTCGACGCGAGGCGGAGGATGCCCTGCTGGCGGAGGATGGCCGGGGCAAGAGACGCACACCGGGAGAGCATGGCGTTCGGGGTGTCGATAAGAAAGAGCAAGATGCAACACAAAAGGGGGGAGGGGATTCGATGGGGAAGATGATGCCCTTCTCTGGGATGGTCCGCGTGGATGGGGCTGGGGGCGCCGAAAAAATTCCCTCCCCCCATACCGGAGCACCGCGCAGCGCTGGGGCCTCACAGGACGGAGAGGCGTGCCGCTTTGCCCCCTGTGGTTCCCCCCCCAGGCCCATGCGCATTGGCCAGATCCTTGGGGAGGGACACCCCAGCGCGTACGGGGGGGGGGGGGGGGGGGGGGGGGGGGGGGCCGAGCGCATGCTCCCCCGCGCATGCGCCGTCGGGGGGGGGGGGGGGGCGTGTGCCAAGGTACTGGATGTGCCCACGCTCTGGACGATAGGCCACATGAGACATGAACACATGAGCCACAACTGACCTTGGTTAATTCCGGTGTCACCGATCGCAGCTCGGGCGGCCTATCCCCGAGCCGGCGGGGCGGAAGGCGGACCGCCAGGGTGGTGGGGGGGGG